CAAGACTTCGTGTCCTTCCCGAAATCTGGTTTGTTGCGCTATCTTAATGATGTTTTTAATGGTGAAAGTACTTTGGCACATTTCCATCCCTCTTGGAATGTAGTTGGTTACTGGCTCTCGTTGTGAAATGACTTGGTGATCCTTACGAGTTGTTTTACTTCCTTTGTTGATCCTTAGAGCCATTGAGGTCTTGTTACCAAAGTGTTCCTTACACTTTCCTTGAACGTACGATCCTAGAGTGGATACACAGAAACCATGATGAGAAGTGTCTCTTAGACTCTCATAGCTTTCTTTCGTTACTTTTAAGGGGAGGCCTCCTTTATTTCACACGGTTTCAAGGACCTTTAGCGAGGTAAACGAGAGGGCTAAGGACTGGAATAGGGTTGTACCAGAGGTTTCGACATTCTTGTTCTTTTACAAAATTTTGAAGTAGTCCCTTTGAATACTTGAATGATAACCATGGTAAGAAATTCAGTCTACCCTTAGTGCTTGACTTAAGGCCTTTATAAGTTCATGGCGTAAGTACCTGACTTGGCTTCTTGATTTGTAAGATTCTTTTTGTCAACCGTCCTTAGTTGATTGAATCGTAGGGTTCCACTGTAATTTCACAACCAACGCAATTAATAATACCTTTTTCGAAATCATGATGCGGTCGGGGTTCTTACCATGGTCAGCGTCTTGTCGTTGACCATGGTTCCTTACCCCGAAGATGCACTCATGCTTTTGGTTAATTGTTCCACGGGCCGAGTCTTGGTTACAGTTAGTCAATTTTAATATCTTCGTAGGGTATTTGGCTATAGTCCGACCTTGTCTTGTCTTTTCTTGTCTCTAGTTAATGACAAGTTTTCCTTGAAGACTTCGTGGTTGCAAAGTCTTGCCTTCCCTAAAGGAGTCCGTGACTTGGAGCTTGTCTTTCAGTGCACTCTTGTCACCCTTATCCTTTCGACTGTTCTGGCTTCCAATTACGAGTTTAGCTACTTCCTGTCCCTTCCTTGTTTTAGTCGAGGATAGGTTTCTTACCAGGTGTCATCGACGCGGAGTCCTACCCTTACCTTAGGGACATCCGGTGGTCGGATACACCCTTTGGGTTTGCTCCTAATGGTGTTAGTTTCTCGACAACTCCATTAATTGATGGCAACCCGGTCTACTCCTTCATCCTTCTTAATACCCGATCAATAAACACTGACTCCCACGTTTATCAGACAAGCAAGGGGTTTACACCACTCATAGGGTTTTAATAAGGGTTTCAAAAGAGAGGGGTATAAGATTAGAGCAATGACAATGATCCCAAGCTCATAATAATTTAAGGTGTTTCAAGGATTCAAGCTAGGTACAACAAAGGGTCAGTAAAGGCATACGGGTGTCGGCTGTTCTCAAGTATAACCAAGGGGCATAAGGTATGGATTCAAGGAAGTAGGAATATCAAGCGAAGGGGATTCAAGGGCGAATAATATTTTAAACGGAGGCAAAGGGCTCACAAGACCGCGCAATATGCTTACCTTGCACCAAACGTTGATCAGTAGCGTTGCTCAACCGCTACTTATCTTCCTTGTGTTAATTAGCGTCCTAGTTCTCTTTCCTGTTTGTCGTAGCTGTAACCTGTACTTACCGTGATAAAGCAATTTACCAGGAGGTGCGCGCCACTTGCTTAAATAGGGGGTTGTGGTAGCTGACTCCAGGTTTGTGAGTATTACAGTCTGCCTGCTTCGAGTCGACCTCACGTCCCGATGCAGACACCACATCTTAACTGCTTTGCTTTAGCAGACATCCAAGCCTTCCTTCTCTTGGTCATGGTCTTCGTCAAGTCCTTGGCGGGGATTAGGACGAGCTGACTTACCGGGTAAGTGTACATTACCCGGTTACGGAAGTAAACTTATCTACTCGCACCCTTACCCGGTGTCTTTAACTAAAAGAACTAAAGCTAGGCAAAGAACAAGTACATGAAACTTAAATGAAAGTGATAAACTCACAGTCTCACCGCGTGTCCTAAGATTCCTATACCCTAAGTACTTAAACACCTAGAGTTCAAGCCTAGTGTCCTAAAGTCCTTTCCTAAAGATCTCAAACACTTAGAATCCAAGCCTAATGTCTTAAAGTCTTATCCTAAAGGCCTTGTCCTAGGGTCGAACTTAGGCTCTGGTACCAACTGTAACACCCCTATATTTCAAGATATTTAAAAACCTATAAAATAAAGGCTAATCTCTTATTAATTCCCGAACAGAGCATAACTAGACATAGTAGTCGGGGTGCTATGCCACATCTGAGCTGGAGAACTCAGATGCACAGGCTAAAGTAACTAACAAAGCATAAGCCATAACTAATACCCAAATAAAAATCAAGGCACGCAGGTCATCTTATCCAGTCTATAACTATCTAACTAAGTCCACGGATCCACTAGCGCGCTCCGAAGCTACTCACTGTTCCTGAAAAACATTCGGTATAACAACCGTCCGCGAATAATGCTGGTAACCCACTCCAACGCGTTAAGTACAATATAGGTAGATATAAGAAACTCATTTTGAAACTGGAATACATATATAATCCTGAGGAACTCTAATTTAAAACCAAGAACAAGACTCAGCACAATAGCAGATACCATCATTATAATTTAAACGTAAAGATTCTAACATGCATCCTAAGGTCACAAGACTACACAATACGAGCAACGTCAATACTCCACTATCAGCACAATCAACAATCAACAACAAGACACGCATTCGTGCCCACACATATGGTGGTGCCGCAGAACCATTCACATGACCCGAACCTTGAGTTCCATTGCCAAGGGGTCAGTGCGTATAGCTCTGACATGGATCCGCAGCACTTTAACTTGTTCCGCAGCACAGGGAAGAACCAAACGATTGATCGCAACCAATCAATGAACCGTAGCTCATTCGTATCATAAATGTTTGATCGCAACCAAACTATGGACCACAGCCCTATTATCATACATCTCCGATCGTAACCAGACTATGGACCGCAGCCCTATTAATATAACAGTCGATTGTTCTCAACCAATCCAACTGCCTATATAGCCAACCGTTCTCAACCGATCGGGTTAATACCTGGTTGTTCTCAACCAACCAGATAGTCATTATAGCCAATTGATCGCAACCAATTGGGTCATCATGCACAACATTGAAGCCAATCACAAGCAACCCACATTAACACATAACAAGGGGGAATCATCAGGGAACACGTAACCCAACATAACTCATCCATAACAAATGACATTAATCCAACCACGACACTCCTACGGGATCATACAACTTCCTCCTAGGACAACGGGATACCAATTCAACTCGCATGCAACACACAAGAATCTTTTATCCTAAGAACGGTACCCGATACATCAAACTAAACTCACAAACACCGACGTGTTAAACCGGGGCACGGGAAAACACAAAACGGGACCAAACCGCATCGCCCTGGCCACCTTCCAACGGGTGGCCGGCGGGGGAAGACTTCACCCGCCGGCCGCCCGCCGGGGGCGACGAGAATTCCAGCGGGTCGCCGGCGGCTGCCCGCTGGAATTCTAGGCAGCTTTGGCGGGTAAGTGGTGGGGACTCCTTCCCCCCACTTACCCCCCCACTGGAATAACACGATAGGCATATTTTTCCCCAATTCGGGCATTCATCAATTAACAAGCAAGACGGGACTAAACACATTCCAACACGTAACAATAAACGAAAACATTACAACGGGTTACCCCAAGACTTGAACACAATTAAATCCTAGTTTCATGCTCCTAATACAAAAAGACTCAAGACTCAATTCTCAATTATGCAAGAACATCAAGAAACGCAAGAAATCATATATCGATCCTAGAAAGGGGCTCTAGACAAATCAAAATACGAATACGTCAAGATTATCACATAAACATCAAGATTATCGTATAAACATCAAGATTATCATATAAGCATCAAGATCATCATATAAACATCGAGATTATCACATAAACACAATATAAACCCTAGGCAAAGCTCTATCAAGACTCAAGCACATAATCATATATCAAAGGAGCCAATGACACTACTACACAGCAGGCTTTTAACGTCGGCTAAATAGAGCTTTTAACGTCGGCTATGTACCGTAGTTGTTGCGGGCGTCGTTGTAAATATTATTTATAACGTCGGCTATATAAATAGCCGACGTTATATCTTATTTAAAAAATAAATAAATAAATACTTACAACCTCGGCTAAAAGTTAATAGCCGACGTTGTAGGTATTTTGATTTTTTATAAAATACCTACAACGTCGGCTATTAGCATATAGCCGACGTTGTAAAGTGTTTTAAAAAAAAAAATACTTACAACGTCGGATAAATGCTAATAGCCGACGTTGTAGGTATTTTAATTTTTTATAAAATACCTACAACGTCGGCTATTAGCATTTAGCCGACGTTGAAAGTATTTTAATTTTTTTTAAAATACTATACAACGTCGGCTAAATGCAAATAGCCGACGTTGTAAACGTTATTTATTTATTTTTTAAATGTATTCAACGTCGGCTATTAAGTAATAGCCGACATTGTATGTTTTTTTTTTTAATATACAATTTATTTGTTCATTTATACCCAAAAATCTGCTCAAATCTACTCACAACCACAACCACAACCTAAACCTGCTCAATTTCTCACAACCACAACCAAAACCTGTTCAATTATTGCACCACAACCACAGCAAAATATGCAAAAAGCAAAATCAATTAAAAGGTATCTAAAAGCTATGACTCAATAAAAAGTCATCCATACCCAGAGTGAGTTAAATATTCTCCACAGAGAAATATGCTGACAATAACTTTACTTGATAAATAACCTAGCATTGTCTATTAAGTATTAACATCTCTGTACAAGACAATGGCATTTTCCTTCTTATTTCTACCATCTTTTCTTTTCATTCATTAGGCTTCATTAGCTGGCTGCCATCAATGGGCACTATCACCTTTGGATGACAAAAACTTTTCCAATCTTATTTCTACCATTTCCAATTTTCACTCTTTAAGCATTGCTACTAGCAATCATGAAAGTTATGACCTTTGGACAGCAAAAACAGCAGTCCCCCAAATTTCATTAATCCATATAACCTAATCATCATTGCTAAACTGCTCCTCCTCATATTCACATCAATAGTAGAATTTAAACTCAAGTACACACATAGCAACAGGTATATTGAAACCATACTCTTGGGACATAACCTCCAGGATGAGAGGTATCTTCGTAACCACATCCTCCGAGGCTGCAATCTCTGGAACCCTACAAAATGCTGATAACACGGTGATAGATAACTGCAAGTAAGCATCACGATTCTCCTTTCGACCACCGTCTGCTTCTCCTTTCCCCATCCCTATCAACAACAAAATTAAGTGTTTGATAGAGTGGAAATCATTGACTACATTTCCGCTACGAAAACAAATTGTATAAACTTAAAACTTACCAGTCCGCAAGAGGCGGTGGAGGAATTGAGCCCCAACGGCGTCGTATACCTTCTGAATGGCACCGTGGTCATCCTTACTGCAGAACTTTGTTACCAGAAGTAGGCCGGCTAAACGCTGCTCGTCTCTCTCACCTCTCAGGAGCTTCAGGCAATCGTTAAGCGACGGTTGCTGAGACTGAGATGAAGTTCCACTGCTCGAAGCTTGGATTTCCTGCTATCCAGTAAAACAAACAAACCCAAATTTAGTTGTAAAGATACAGAGAATACTACTGTATAGTATGCATATATGATATATGTAAGCTAGAGAGGAAAAGAAGTTACCATTGGAGAAAGTGATCGGAGAAGAAGCAAACTGGCAGCTAAGGGAGTTCCAGAACTGCAAATTCCTAACCTTGTATCCTTTTCCTAAAGCTTAAAAATTAAACACTTGTTCAACAAAGAAAAAACACAAGAACTTTACCCTTCAAATGAATTAGCCAAGACTGTAGAAACACATTCCACTTCCAATCAATTAATAAATCAAAGATATCCTAATTACCTACCAACTTAAAACAAAGTAATTGCAAATTGCAAAATCATTTAACATAACATCATAATTTGAAAATTCCATCACTGTAACTTGAAAAAATCCAAAAACTTTAGATCCAATACATGATAATTTCCTAAAACATCAATAAAAATACCAATTCATTTCCCCACCAGTAAACTAATCCATAAAAGTATCACCAACACAGAAATTTACAATACTAGACCTAATGTCTCAGTTATTCAATAATAAAAACAAATATAACACAAATAAACCCTAAAATGCATATACATTTACAAAAATTTGAAATAAATCAATAATAAAAACAAATATAATAAAAACAAACCCTAAATTATAATTATATTTATTAAAATTCGAATAAATTAATAATAATTAAAAAAAAAATTACCTGGCGATGTGCGGATCGGAGAGGCTGTCGCGGACGGTGGCGGAAGCAGTCGGAGCCGGCGATGTGCGGATCGGAGAGGCGGTCGCGGACGGTGGCGGAAGCAATCGGAGACGGCGATGTGCGGAGAAGCTGTCGCGGACGGTGGCGGAAGCAGTCGGAGGAGAGGGCGTCGGCGATGTGGACTGTGGCGGCGGCGTCGACGTATGCAGGTGGACGACGTCAGCGTGGAGGTCGGCGGCGGTCTGAGACGGTGAGGCCGGCGGTGAGAAGAAGTGCGGTGGGGTGGGGAGGAGATGGATGGAAGAGAGCGGTGGTGGTATAGCGTCGATCGATCTGTCTCAGATCTGTTATTATAAAAAAAGAACTTTATAACGTCGGCTAAATTAAATAGCCGACGTTATAAATTAAAAAAAAATTAAAAAAATAAATTAAAAACAATACAACATCGGTTAGATAGTTAGCCGACGTCATATCATATTTATTTCTTTTTTTTAGTATATAACGTCGGCTAAATTGACTTAGCCGACGTTATATATAAATTATTATTTTAAAAAAAATAATATATAACCTACGACGACGGCTGTATTAATAGCCGATGTCGTAGGTTGTATATTTCTTTTGTATTATTATTTTTTATTTTTAACGTCGGCTATTTGGTAATAGCCGACGTTATAAACTTAATAATTAAAAAAATTAAATTAAATGTTTTTAACGTCGGCTATGTATATAGCCAACGTTAAAGAGCCGACGTTGTATGTGAATTCTGTAGTAGTGTGAATAAGATATAGCAAGGAAAATAGGTTTTGTTGAGACATGGGTTACCTCGTTCGCTTAACAATCCAAAACACCGTTAATGGAACCTGTGAATCAAATCGAATTCTCACTAAATAATCGAGTTAATAAAATTAATTAAACCCTTTAGGGGTTTGAACCCTAAATTTCTCCCAACACTAAATGTTTCCTACCTACTAGACTAAAGACCTCATTAATAACCTTAAGCATTATTGATTAGTCAATAATCAATTAACCCAACTATCCCCTTCTAAAAATACCCTCCAGACATCCAATTAACCACACGCCTTGCCAACTAGGCTAAACAACCTCTTGGTGATTTACCTAATTACTAATTTATTTAGCCCTAAGTAGCCGAGATCAGCAACTTAACTTCCTCCTCTTCTTCGATCTGCTTCGTCGAGACGCCGCGGCTGCTCAACGGGAACACCTTCTCCTACCGGCCACCCGCTGCCTCCGTGCGAGTATGTTCGCTGGAGGGAGGATGGTCGACTTCGTAGCCGGAGGACGCTGGGAGGGGGAGAACCACCGTCGCGTAAGTCTGTCGTCGAGCCGTTCGTGCTGTATGTCGTCGTATCACGGTTGTCCGCCCGTAACGGAGGGTCGAGGGAGAGAGAGGTTCATGGTTTAGAGCGTAGGGAAGGGTTGGGGCTAGTGGTTGCTGCCATGGTGAGGGTGGTGTGAGAGAGGGCGAGGGTGGTGGTGTGTTGAGGGTTCACCAGCGGTGTTTGAGAGAGAGGGAGAGAGAGACGTGACGGAGGGGGAGAGGGAAGAGGATCGTCGGATACGTATATATATATACACGTATATAGAGTATCCTAATTCATCTATGTATATGTGTATATTATCATTATTATTATTATTATTATTATTATTATTATTATTATTATTATTATTATTATTATTATTATTATTATTATTAGGATTAGGTTTCTTGGTTTAGATGGGTCAAGGTTAAATACGTTTGGGCTTGGCTACACAATACTAATTGGGCATATAGAATATATATATATATATATATGTATGTATATATATATATATATATATATATATATATATATATATATATATATATATATATATTGGGCTCAGGATTTGGGCATTTAATAACGTGGCTTATAAAATACTTGACCAAGGTCCATAGTAACATATGTAGGTTTATTTATATATATTTGTAGTAACATAATTAATTATAAATACATAGCTCTATTTGGGAAATATTTATTTCAATATAAATATTTACAGGGTATCACATGATAAGAGGAAGTTATTAGGCTACAAAGGTAACCCATGCTTTACAAAACCTATTTTCTTACTTATATGATGATTCTTGGCTTCTACTTGTGATTCTTGTGTTGATTTGTGAGATTTGATGCATTGTCTTGTAGTAATGCATGTTTAGAGCTTGTTCTTAGGTTCTTGAATGCCATTGCTTGGCTATTTCTTGTGTTCAAGTCATATTGTTGTTTTGTGTGAGATTTTGGGTGTTTTGGACTTGAATTTGGACTTGTTGTTGAAAATCCCCAAAGGGATTATTTTGGTGTACAGGGCGTACCCACAGGCGAAACGGCGGGCAGAGGCCTACCCGCGGGGTACATGGTGCCTCGTGGGTTGGTACCCGCGGGTGGTTGTCCACCCGTGGCCCCACCCGCGGGGAACACTGTTAGACGATGGCGGGGATTTGTTCTCCGTGATTCTTTTGACTCGGTATTGATGTTTTGACCTCCCGATGTGTTTTTATTGGGCCATTTGTGATTCTTCTTGATGTTTCGTATGTTTAAAACGGTATGTTAGGAATCCTGGTAGGATTTGGTGTCTTGAATCGTGCTAAGGGTCCGACTTTGTGATTCGTTGGACTATTGTGAGTCTTGAATGTTCTATGGAACTACTTTTGGTTTACCCGTTTGATAAGCATGCTAGTTTGATGTTGAAATGCTAGTATGTGCGGTTTATTCCTTCTTAGTGGGATTGGCAACTTGTGCTAACCATCGTTTGGTGTCGAATTGTGATCCTTCGTTGTTGAGTATGGTTTCATGTCTTTGTTGTGATCCATTGATTGACTCCTATGATATGAATGTATGTAATCGTTGTACCCTTTGATTGATACATAATTAAGGTTATTGTGGAACCTTAGTCTTCTTGGTAATGATGATGACTTGTGTGACTATGATTGAATGTGGGTGGTTGTTACTTGAGCTTTGCTCACATGTAAGTGGTTGTGTGAATGAAATTAATGGTACCCTCGTGTACTGAGAGTTTGGCGGTATGTTGGAGGCTATGTTGGAGGGGGGACGACGGTCCCTGGCGGTACAAGGTTGGACTCAGAAGTACAGGGTGGCACTATGAGGTAATGGTTGGAACTGAAATAAGGTCGGGGGTAGCCATAAGGTTGGAACAGGGCATAAGGTTGGAACTATGAAACTTGTGACATGTAGTTGTCACTGTGGCATGTAGTTGCCGTTGTGTGAATGTGTATTCTTTGCTAATGAGCATGTCTTGATGTATTCTATTTTGTGATCAGTAGAATGCATCTTGAGTTGTATTGTCTTTCATGTTATTGTCTTGTTATTGTTATAAGGATGGTGATTCCTTTTCCTTTTGAGAGTGTGAATGAGTCCTTGAAGTTTTCTTCTCTCTATGGCTTTTGAAATGATATATACTCTATTCCGTTTCAAAATGGTTTTGACTTATACTTATCTATATATGTTATTTAACGCGTCTTTTTCCCTTGTTCTACAGGTTTTGAGTAGATGCCCAAGAGCGCTAGACTTGGAACGATAGATAGCTTAGTCACCTTGTCTAGACGTTATGTTTTGATGGCCTGTGAGCCTTTTGAGCGGCGTGTGTACCTTGACTCTTTATGACTTGTTTAAACTGTTTAGTTTCCCGCCTGTGCATCTTTAGTACTTTAAGATGTGGCATAATACCCCCTATTTAGACTTGCTTCTGCTTAATGTTTAATGGATGTTTAGATTGCTTATCTCTTGCCTTTTTAAGTTTTAAAAATATGGTAAAAATCGGGGGTGTTACACAAGGCGATTGCTTATGGCGGCCACCGCAACCGTACACGCCTGGCGTCGAGCACATCAACATTCCGCGGGGCAATCAACCGGCCAGCAGACAGTGATAGCCGTATCACCTGCCACATCCCATGCGACTGCCGAATTGCCTCCACAACGTCAGAATGTAGCAGCTACACCAAATACTGGAACACGTCCAAGGACTTGCTATGTAGACGCTGGCTTCGACTCTACAACTGGAAAGGCGACAGCAGGAGCTATTCTACTCGAGGAAGAAGGAGGCTATATCTCGGCCTTCTCCACTTTATTCCCAACTTGCTTCTCACCGCTTATGGCCAAGGCTTTTGCGGCCAAGGAAGCTTTGTCATGGCTAAAGGATCGAGGTGAGCGTTTCATAAGACTATAAACAGACTGCCAGACACTACAGTGCTATCTTACATCACGACCATCTACGGTTCGATCATACATTGGGTATGCTATTGATAGTGTCCGCATTTAATTTCTACACAGTTAATTACATTCCTAGATCTGAGAATTTCTTAGCACATACTTTAGCTTCTATAGCTTTTCAGCATTCAGTTTCTATGTACTGGGATCTGCACCTA